TGTGAATGTCAGCACATGCCTGTAAACCCAACAACCCAAGATTCTGAGGTAAGAGGATTATAAATTTAAGGCCAGTCTCAGCAACTTAAMTAGACTCTGTCTCAAAAATAAAAAAGGACTGAGCGAGGTGTAGTGGTACCAGCAACTAAGGAGGCTGAGGCAGGAGGATTACAAGTTTGAGGCCAGTCTCTTCAACTTAGCAAGACCCTCAGMAACTTAGTGAGACAGTCTCAAAATAAAAAAATAAAAAGACTGAGCTGCTGTGGCGGTATATGTTTGTAATTCCAACAACTAGGAAAGCTGAAACATGAGGGTCACAAGGTTAAGGTCAGCTTGGGTGACTCAGAGACACTAAGCAACTTTATGAGACCCTGTCTCAAAATAAAAAGCGCTGGTGATATGGCTCAGTGGTAAAACATCCCTGGATTCAATCCCTGGTACCAAACAAAACAAATAAAAAACCAAAACAAAACCCCAGTGCCAAAAAAAAAAAAAAATTTAACTACCTCTTATTGCCAAAAGAACGTATGAACAATGGCAAAAAATTAGTTTTACAAAACTAAGCCTGGTGCTGTGGTGCATCTTGTAATCCCATTTACTTGGGAGGCTGAGTGAGGAGGCCAGCAAGTCCCAGGCCAGCCTGGGCAACTCCATAGTCCAGCTGCATTAGCCAGCATGCGAGGCCCTCACTTGATCTCCAGCACCACACACAAAATAACAGCCCAGGGAGCTTAAGTGGTGGGGACTCTGTGGTTCTGTCGTTATAGTCCCACGACTTAACTTACCTTGATTTTCTATTAAGAGCATTCCTACAGGGCTGGGGTGTGGCTCAGTGGTAAAGCACTTCCCTGTGCCCAAGGTTCTGGGTTCCATCCCCAGCACCACAAAAGGAAAAAAAAAAAAAAAAAAAGCTTTCCACTAAAGATGCCCTTACCACTCCACCACTCTAACTCAAGCTCAGGTTGACTCAGTGACCCAGGACCAAGTGGGGAGGAAGGTGAGTCCACAGGGACTACAAAGCCTGAGGTTTTCAGGTAGAGCTGGCTCAGAGGCCAGCAGAGACTCCCACACTGGAAACCTAAACCAGCCCTGGAGGAGGGAGGTCTTTCTCACGAGACCCTGGGAGGGCGGAGCACCTGGCACACAGGCTGGGCTGTGGCAGTGGTTAGGGCACAGCTCGCTGGGACAGGCACGCCCAGGCAGGCTATACATGGTAGGTGGTGTCTAGGGAACTACTGGAACCACTGGAGTGCCCAGAAGGTTTCTGCTGAGTTGAGTCCACATTCTGGGTCACACCCAGTGTCAGTGCTTTAGAATGTGCTCCCGTGCCAGGGCAGAGCCCAAGACATTCAGGAGAACCAGGGCGGCAGCCCTGGGTGCCAGATCAGCTGTATCCCCAGAAGCCTCACCACACAGCCAACAGCGTCAGCACTCTGCTCCTGGGAGCCTGCTCACGTCTGGACATGCCACAGGCTGGAAGACTTCATGGCCAATAATCCCATGAAGCATGAACAGAACACCAGGAAAGGACTATGTGGAGATGCTGGTCAGAATACTGGGGTACAGTACAGAATACTGGGGTACCGAATACTGGGGATGTGGCTCAGTGGTACAGCACTTGCTCACATGTGAGGCACTGGGTTCAATTCCCAGTACTGCCAAAAAAAAAAAAAAAAAGAATACTGGAATACAGTGTTAGGACAAGCCTTCCAAGAGAGGCAGTACTTGATAAGTGGCCATGGGATGCAGAGCTGCCCAGCAGCCTCACTGGTTACAGGAGCGAGGACAGACAGTAAATGGCTGCTCTAGTTGGGCTGTGAGTTTGCACCCCAGTAACTGGCTATATGACCAAGAGCAATGACATTGCTGCTAAGCCTAGTTTCCTTGCCTGTTAACTGGAAGTAAAACAAATAGCAGCAACACCATAAACACTGTTATTCATGATCATGAGAATTGTCTGGGCATCCCTTCTGGCTAGAGCCAGGATCACACCAGTCACAGCATGGCCTATGCCCACGGTTAAGGAAATGCAAGCAGACCCTCTGCAGTTACCAGGGCTCCCATACACTTCCATTCYTTGCCTCCTCCAGGCCTAAAAAGGAACTCCACCATTTGCCTCATTGGGTGCTCAGCTCCTACTGGGGGAAGAAGATGGGACCAGGTAGGAGGATCCATCTGTGGAAGAGAAGGGGCTGTGGCCCCGTTTGTCCCAAGTCCATCTTTCTAAAGAACCACTGCTCGATGCCCTGGGAAGGGCTTGGCTGGCCCCTGGCCCCGACTCACCCTGGTCGATAGAGTGCTGTGGCAGCTGGCTGAGCTGGCTGCTGACCACTCCCGCGTAGGTGCGCAGGAACTCCTCCTCGCTGGCTGTCAGCTGCAGGGGGAGAGCACAGCAGTGAGGGCAGCAAGCACCTGCTCCCTGAGAGGCCCCTCCCGGGCCGCCTGATCYCAGTGGAGACTCCTCCTTGGCTCCCTGGGCTCCAGTACTGAGATCTGACCTCTCTAGTCCAAAGCAGCCCAACCCCTCCCACCCTGAATTCTTAGTCCCTGAGGCCCACAGGCTTGGGTATTGGGTTGAATCTGACTGTAGCATCTGGTCTGACATAGGCCAGTGGGAAGGCGTAGGCCCTGCCTAGAGAGTTGATGGATGGCCAATGGGCAATTCTGAATCCCTCCTTCTTCCCAAAAGCTTCCCTGCACCTGCAGGTCTGCTGTCCCCTCAGTGCCCAGCTGCCGTTTGCCTGCCCCTGGGACAGAAGCCTCACAGGAATCAGCAGGGAAGAAAAATAGAAGGTCAGGGCCTTGAGGCCCTTGTCCACCCGGCTCAAGCAGAGCACAGTGGGAGGCTGCCCCAGTGGCACTCTCAGAACTGGACATGCTGGGCTCTGTGCCTGGGAGGCCTATACTAGCCACAGAGCTGAATTACAGGCCCAGCTGCCTCCTCCCCAGACCACAGTGACCCAGGAGGGGGCTCAGTCCCCTGCTTCAAGGCAGCCAGTTCCCTTCCTGGGAAGCCTGGTGCTCGCCCCAGGCACTCACGTTTGATCCCATCTTCCTCAGCATGAGCAGCACTCGGACTTTCTGCTGAATGTACATCTCCTCCGGACTCTTCCCGGGTGCTCCTTCACGGTTCATCCCCCTGGCCCAGCTCTTGGGACTCCTRTGGGGTCAGGTAGACATGGACGGGTCAGGGGTCAGGGTGAGACACGCTGATATAGTCACCTGTGGGTGACCCACACCTTTCCCAAGTAGCCCCTTCCCGTAGGGTCTGGTTTCTTGGAGCACAGAGGAGGTGGAGGGCTTCCCAGCTTTTCCCTCACCCCACTGGCTCCAGCAGCCCGTGAGCAGTTTATTCCAGGTGGGTGTTGCAGGGGTCCTGGCCACTTCCATGGCCAGGGAGAGAGCTGACAGTTTTACCTTCTAGCTCTCACACAACCTGCAGCAAGGTGCCTACAACAAGTTGCAGGGGACGTGGTACAAGAAGCCAAAGTGTCCCAGGCTTTTAAAGCAAGCAACTTGTACAAGGTGCAAAGTTACGTCAATGAAGGTGGCTGGCTGGGCCTGTGGCTTGAGAAACCATGAGATAAACCTCCACTCCAGCACGGAGTGGGAGGTTGCCCCAGCGCCCAGCCCCCAAACACAGAGACAGCTCCCTGTRCAAAAGCCCCTGCTGAGTTCAAGAGGGCAGCTCCTGGGCTGGGCTCCACAGAGTCCCTAGATGGTGAGAGGCTGGCTCAGGCATGTGGGACATAGGCACTGTCACCACCCTCACACACCCACCCCACCTGTTGAAAGGTGGTTCCTGCAGGCAGTTGTGAAGGCCAGCAGCYGTGTCCAGGTATCTCAGGAACCTGACCTGCAGCAAGGCCCCAGAAGAGAAGCCCAGAGCTTCCTCCCTCCAGGAGGAGGAGGAGAGGAAGCAGGCGTGGAGGGGCTTGAGTTACATACTTGTAACTCCTGGATGAGTCAGAAATAACGCAGCAGCTGGTGGGGGTGGAGTCTTGTCAGCCCTGCTGCCAAGGAGCTGCTCTAGGAGAATGGGGGAACCGGGCTGGAGGGACAAGGACACTCCTCACACTGTCCACCCTCAGGGACCCAATAGCCCTGGCTGGACCAGCGGGCTCTCCCAGGCAGGCGGCAATCTGTGCCAAGGGTGTACTTAGGAGCAGCTTCCTGTAGGTACTTGTCAACTGCTCACTCCCCCCAAATAGGACCCTCACCCTAAAAGCCCGCAGAATAGGCTAAAAACCTGGCCAGTTGGGGCTAATGTCATAGCCGAACTCTTGATGCAGCACAGCTCCTTCCAGAACCTTCCTTTCTATCCCTGAAGCCTCAGAGTTCARGCTTTCTTCCTCTGCTGTCTGCTGCCTTCCAACTCTTCCTGGGCTCAGAAAGGGTCCAAGTAACAACTGAGAACTGARAAAAGGACTGGCGCACCTCAAGAACCCTCAATTCCAGGGTGCATGCCAGTCTGTACAGCCAAGYGGGAAGCTCACCTTTGAGCTACCCCTCCTCCTGTGAACCCATCCTCACTTCCTCCACTTCACCTCCCGTGCAGCACTGCTGCCTGGGGTGGACTCCACACGGCTTCTTGGAGTGAGCCCTACCCTGGGCCTCAAGCATGGATAGTGTGGCTTCCATCTCCCCRCTACCCCCGACCGCTGCTTCCCTCTGGGTTGTGGCTCTGGTCTCTTCATGACCTCCCCCACTTCCTTTCTTGCCCTTCTACCAACACAGTATCTGCAATGATCTTCTCAGAAGACCAGAAGAGATAACTTCACTCCCATCTAAACCTACCTGAGGATACATGTAACAGCCCGGCATGGTCAGCCCTAGCCTGCTCCAGCCTACCTCTCCCATCCTCYTGGGCCAGTCTCTGTACAGGGTGTCCCCTTGGCCTGGAACTGGCTTCTGATCACCCTTCAYTGCAGTTTAGAAATGTCTTTCCAGGGAAGCATCTGACGGCAAAATGCAAGCTGGCTCTGACCTCTTCCCCAGTTCCTCCCAGATATGTAGCCCTGTCTGTCCTGATTTCCTCAGAGTCCTGCTGGCATTCCTGCTTACTATCTCTCCTTTGCCCTGTGGAAGGCCAGGGCTGTGTCTACTTCATTTAACTGTCCTCAGCCATAAGGCACTTAATAAATGCTGCCTGGTTGGATGAATGGAATAAGGAGACAGCCTGTGGTGTCTAAGCTTCCCACTCCCTAGCGGCATCCACATTGATTTAGGGCCAAATATCATTGTGTTAAAAGTGCCTAAAGTGGCTGTGAGTGGTGGCCAACACCTATAATCCCAGTGGCTCAAAGGCTGAGGCAGGAGCATTGATTGCAAGTTCAAAGCCAGCCTCAGCAACTTAGCAAGGCCCTAAGTAACTTAGAAAGACCCTGTCTCAAAACATAAAAAGGGCTGGAGATGTGGCTTAGTGGTTAAATGTACCACGTTCAATCCCCAGGACTAACCCCTGCAAAAAAAAAACAAAAAACTAAGTACTAAGCCAGTCTTCATAAACAATGTAGCTCTTCTAAAGACACATTTCCAAAGGACTCTGTTTCCTGAGCTATGGTGTTCTACAGAGGGCATCTGAAATGCTCCACAAAGCCTTCAAACTGGGAGGCAGAACTCCTAGGAGTGAAAACCTTCCAATTCTGTCCTGTGCTCAAAGGCTAGGTTTTAGTTTATTCTCCTTTGTAAAAAGACATGATGCAAGGGACCAGCCACTGGGTGTCGCCATACACGAGCGCACCAGAGATGCAGCTCCTCCTGGATACCCAGCAGGCTCCCAGGTTCTGTGGACCTCCTTCCATAGCCAAAGCAGGAAGCTTTCACCCCTGCTGAAGCTGACTTTATTTCAAACCCACTCTCACAAACCACACTCTAGCAGCTGAGTGAGGCAGAAGAATCGAAAGTTCGAGGCCAGCTCAGCAACTTAACAAGTGCCTGTATCAAAATAAGGAGGAAAAAGTGCTGGGGATGTAGCTCAGTGGTAGAGCAAACTTGGGTTGGGTCTTTTGGTACCCCAGTATCAAAAACAAAATTAAAAATAAATAAAAAGGGCTGAGGATATAGCTCAGTGGTAGAGCACCCTTACATTCAATCACCAGTACTACAAAAGAAAGGAAGGAAGGAAGGAAGGAAGGAAGGAAGGAAGGAAGGAAGGAAGGAAGGAAGGAAGGAAGGAAGGAAAAGAAAGAAAGAAAGAAAGAAAGGAAAAGAAAACATACACACACACATACAAATAAAAACAAAAACCCATCCCAGTCCTGGGTCCCAAGAGAAGATCTATCATTCAGTAAGGCCTAGCCAGAAATGGCTGGTTTGTGCTGCCACAACCTCAGGATCCCAAGAGTTCTGGAGCTCAGCGGGTGCTTACTGGAGGAACATCTGTTCTGCGTCATACGATCATTTTACTGGGGGCCCATGTTAGAGACCTTTGCTCTGACAATCCTACCCTCCACCACTGTATAGATTGGTGTCATCCTGTCCTTCTTGCTGTTGTAGACTTGCTGACCCCAGGGACATCTCACACTGATTGCCCATCCAGGGGCCAGAGGTGCCATCAGSGTGTGCATGGGTCTGTGCAGCCAGGTTATTCCTACTTCAACATGCTTCCCTGGCRTTGGTGTTTATTTTAAAAMTTTTTTGCAATTCTGGGGATTGAAGACATGCTAGGCAAATGTTCTACCTCTGATCTACATCTGAGCCTTCCCCCTTTTAAAAAATTTTATTTTGAGACAGGGTCTCACTAAGTTGCTGAGGCTGGCCTTGAACTTGTGATCCTCCTGCCTCAGACTATCAAATAGCTGGGTTTAGAGGTGTGCTCCAAGACTATGCCACACCTGGCTCAAGACAGTTTCTTAAACCGACTCTTCTTATTTTGGGAAAACTCCTGAACTRTCATTTCTACAAACTCTGGTCATCTAGTGTTTTTCAAGCTCTGCTTTGAGCTGATTCTGCCCTGCCACCTGACAGGGTAGAACGCCCAGGTCTGGATCTGGGGCAGAATGTGACCCAGCTCACATGTTCCCGCCCTTTGTGCTCTAATCCAAGTGCTCTAGAACCATCATGACTGGTTGCTATGATTCTGCCTAATCTGCAGTAGGTGTTGACGTGAGAAAATTAATAATTGAAGAGAATATGCCATAATTAACTCAAACAACACAGACTTGGCAGCCACTAGAGAGCTCACCACAGCATATTGTAATGCATTTGGGGTTGTTGCCTATCCAAGTAAGCATGCTATTAAATGTTCATCACAATTCTGACAAGTATTGGAGTAAGTTCACTTGAGAATTCTTATTTTCCCTGTAGAGATCAAGAACTAGTCTCCATTAAAATGTACTTAGATTACATAAGCTCAAACTGCACCTAATTTAAACATACTGTTTATCTGGTCCTCACACCTAAGAACAAAAAGTAAAGTTTCTCAGTTACGGTCTCAGTTATCCCTATAAACATTCTGTTACCTAAAATGGGGCAGCACTTCCCTTCCAAATTCTAAGAAAATCTCTTAGGATTGCGTGCACAGTGTTGGCCATACAAGTCAGAGATGAACAGATAAAAGGATAACAGAAAGAAGCAACAGGCAGCTGTCAATTATGCAAATGAATGGGGAAAGGCAGAGACCTGTGGTTACCTATTGTGGATCACAAACTGCACTTTATACCAGAAGTGGGTGCCGCTCCACGAACTCACATCTGATGGGGCAAATACAAGCACACAGCCTGTACATTCACCCCAAACTCAGAGAACACACACGCACACACACCACTAGGGTGGTTCTGAGCCACTTCTCTTTTGAAGGAATTTTGTTGGTTGTCAGGAAAAGACAGTAGGAAGTGGCTCCCAACCACAGCATGGGATTCATACAAACAGCTCTGAGGGGCTCCTGGCCTGACGGGCCACACAGCAATCTCTGGGAGACACCGGAGGACATGATGCCACACTCCTGACCTGCCTGTGCATACACCTATTACTGGCYACCATGTGATCTTCAGCTTTTAAGYTCTTGATCTTACTTTAGAAGAATTAGGAGGTACAGCAGGAGGCACCCAGAGAACAAGACAAGAATGTTAGGTGCAGCGGCTGGGAGGCTGGGAGGCTGGGAGGCTGGGAGGCTGGGAGGCTGGGAGGCTGGGAGGCTGGGAGGCTGGGAGGCTCCAGCCGCCATGGGGTTCTACCTGGGAAATGCAACCAATTCTAATAAGGAGCCTGGAAAGCTAGCCTCCCTTTGACAGGCACAAGTTCTTGAATGCAAACAGAGCCACCTGAGCTCATTTTTATTTATAAACCTGAAATTAATGCTGTTTGAACACCCACAGTTATGTAAATTAGAATATTCATTTATACCCAGGGGGTCCTGGATCTGCTAGGAAAATTTCAAGTAAACTCAGCCTGCACCAGACTACTGGGTGGGTCCTTTAGATACACAAGGCACCTCTGACCTCTGGGTTGCAGCATTTCTTTCGTTTTGTCTGTTTTAAAACACATCATGATAGTTCTAAAATGCTTGCATTTAGAAATGTACACACATTTTCACAAAATTTGTAGAAAAATACAATGTCATATAATTGAGTGATTCAAAGAGTTTATATAAAATATTAATTCAGAGTCTGCACAGGCTTGGCCTGAAAGAAATCAGCAGCACCACAACATGCACTCTAACAGCCACACACAGGCTGGGGTAGAGCTCAGTGGTAGAGCACACGCTCAGTACTACAGCACCCAAAATGAAAAAGGAGCCCCACAGCTGAAGAAATGAGCATTGTGAAGACAAGGGGAAAGATGAGCAGTCAAGGTAACCAGAGGGTCAGCCCCTGCTGACCAAGGCCACCCAGCCCCACCCAATACCACCTGGGGCCACAATGCTGAGCCCTTTCCTTTAGGTCCTTACCTGCTTCTGGAAATTCACTTCAGGCAAACAGGTGCTCAACTGTTAGGGAAGGCTGTGGCTGGGGAGAAATAAGAAGGTGCCGCCCTGTGGAAAGAGAACATGGATCAGGGAGGAGCCAGGAGGGCCAGTGCTGCTGCAGCAGAAGCTGACACGTGCCCCGTGCGGAGGGAACAGGACCGCTGGCGGGAAGCTCATGGCCACAGGCTTGCCACAGTCCAGAAATACCTGTGTGTCAGGCAAGCCCATGAAACCTGCTCCAACACCTYGAGACAGGGTGCTGACTGCGGCTGGGCAGGCCTGTCACTTCCGGCCAAAGCAGGTCAGCCAGCTCCACACCACACACCTCCTCCCTGAGTTAGTCACCAACTCTAGAGTCATCAAGGACCAGAATGAATCACTGTGACAGCTGATGGGCAAGTCCTGCACCTGCACAAGATGACATCCCACCCACCAGACAGTACCCGTGGCAAGGCCCAGGTCCCTGTGCTCTACCTCCCGAGTGCTCAGCAAACATCCATAGCCACCTACGCAAACCTCGGCTAGCAGTCACGTCCCGTCACGCGCACACGGGAAGCACAGCTGAGGCTGTGTACGAGGCCAACCTGGCCACGCATCTGCCTGCCCCACCCCAGCTCTTCCAGGGTGGGACAGCACTGCCTTCTCCTGCCTCTCACACACCTCTCCACTCAGGTCCACCTCCCAGCTAATCTGGCACAAGCTAGGCCACCGAGGGACAGGACCAGAGAGCCTTGGCCCCTGCTCCAAGGCACACAGGCCTGGTGAGCCTCTGCCATCCCCAGAGCACCTGCCATGAGAGGTTTGAGGACAATTCTGAGAAATGATGCAGGACCAAGGAGAACCTAGAACACCCCCTCGGTCTTCAGTGACTCAGCAAAAATCCACAGCCACCTGTAAGAACCTCAGCTAGCACAGTCGCATGTCACACGCACTCAGGAAACGCAGTGGAGGCTGCTCAGACACCTGGGGGGCCAAGGAAGAAGCAGTTCCAGAGAAAGTGGTATTTCAAAAGCCTCGCCTAAAGTCAGGGTCGCTCCAAGCCTCTGAGTCTGTTGTGTGTGTCCCTCCAATGAGTGGATGTCTCTGGGATAAAGATCCATCTCCCATGCTGCCACCCCCATCAGACTAACCCTACGGGAATAGGCCATTTATAGCAATTAATTACTCTTTTATTCCTCCAGATATCAAAGCACCAAAATACCAAGGAACCCTGGGGAACTCTCCACTCAGTCCCCACTCTCCTTCAAAAAGAGATGAAAAGAGAGCCTTCTCCCTCTCGAAGGGCTGTAACTCCTCAGCTACCATAATAGTCAGGAATCCCTCCTCTGCAGGGCTCAGGCCCTTCCAAGGAGTAAAGAACTTGGCATTCACAACCTTATGAGAAGGGGCCCAAAGGACAGAACTGTGCAGGGGTCCCCATCCAGATGTTCTATTTGTCATATAATATAATATATAATTGGGTCATTGTTCCCAGTTTACAGAGAAGGAAACTGAGGCTTGAGGTGCCGGGGGGCTCCAGAGCAGAGGAGATAGTAATGTGCTCTAGGGGCTGGGTCCTGTTTCAGGCCTGCTGTTGCTGACCAGCTGAGCAACCAAGTCCAGGCACCAATCACCTGGGCACATCACCGTTTGTAAAAAAGAGATAGCAATTTGGACCACAGTCTCCCTGGGAGACAGGCAATGAGGGCTGGCTTCGTGGGCGTGAAGCTTGGGTAGTGCAATGGGGCCCCATACTTGGTTCACTGCTGTATTGTTACCACCTTAAAATTCTTATTTATTTTTGAGGAAGGAGCCCTACACCGGGCCCCGCAAATTATATAGCTGGACCAGAATGAAAAAGGAGGTYAAGATGCCTCCCAATGGGCTGGGGATGTGGCTCAAGCGGTAGCGCGCTCGCCTGGCATGTGTGCGGCCCGGGTTCGATCCTCAGCACCACATACAAACAAAGATGTTGTGTCCGCCGAGAACTAAAAACTAAATATTAAAAATCTCTCTCTCTCTTTCTTTAAAAAAAAAAAAAAAAGATGCCTCCCAAACTGCCAAAGGCTCCACAACCTTAAGTAGATGCTACCTGGGGACTCAAGAGAATTTACCAGACCACTGTAGGCACACACAGCCCTGTGCCAGGCTCCAGAGTAGAGATACAAAATCGGGGCTATGCCATGCAGCCTGCCTGTCAGAGGTGACCACATGGCTAAGGAAACCATATTACACATGCAGAGATAATAGTACAAATAAGACACAATAATCTCAGCTACTAAGAAGGCTGAGATAGAAGGATTGCAAGTTCAAGGTCAATCTAAGCAACTTAGGCCCTGGCTCAAAATTAAAAATAAAAAGGGTTGGGGAATAAAAAGTAGCTCAGTGGTAAAGTGCCCCTGTGTTCAATCCCTAGTACCACGCCCCCCCCACACACACACACGCCAGGTGCCATGGTGCACACCTGTAATTCCAGATGTTCGGAAGGCTGAGGCAAGAGGATCATGAGTTCAAAGCCAGCCTCAGCAAAAGAAAGAAAGAAAGAAAGAAAGGCACTAAACAACTCAGTGAGACCCTGTCTTTAAATAAAATACAAAATAGGGCTGGGGATTTGACTCGGGAGTTGAGTGCCCCTGAGTTCAATCCCTGGAACCCCCCCCCCCAAAAAAAAAAACACAATAATGAATCAAAATGATGTCATGTTAAGGCAAACAATCCCAGGGTACCAACTACACATCACAGACTGTACCCAGTATAGGAAGTGGCAGAGCAAGGGGGTGACAAGCTCTTTGAGAACAGTGGGAGGGACTAGCCGCCAGGGCTCTAGAGAGAACTCTCTGGAGCTGGGTCCTGAAGGCTGACCAGGAGTTTGCTGGTAAGGAAAAGAGGATGACACCATGCACAGATATGCAATGGGCAATTACTGAGCACCTATTGTATGACAGGCACCAAAAAGACTCAGATAGATCCACTTGTAAGACAGATGCCAGTCAAGTCATCCAGGACAATGCACCCCAGACTCTGTGACAAATGACATGGTGGGAAGTGCAAGGTGCCCTGGGGCATGTTGCTGGAAACCTGACCTGTTGGACTGCAGCTATGACTGCGGGGAAAGGCCTTGCACACACAGGTTGCCCAGGTCCATGGTGAGAGCCCAAACGACAGGCTGGAGAACCAGGACTAYGAAGCCCACACAGGCTCAGAAGCAGAATGATGCCGTTGACTTGTCCTTGAGGGAAAGTGAGCAGCTGCAAAGGGTCCTGGAGCCTGGATCTCAGGGTATCAATCAACCATATTTGGGAAATGCCAGACCTCCTGGGCAGTACTGGGATGTGGGGACCGTTTGGGAAGAGGAGCTACATGAGTCAAGGGGGCACTGGTGAGGGGACTTCCCAGCAGGAGGACACCTTCTATAAGACACAAGGACAGTGAGGACACAGAGTGGCCTGAGCTGTAGCAGCAGGATGCACAGAAGGCCAGGTGATGTGCCGAGCTTCTCCAGTGACATCAAGCCCTCATCAAGAGGTGCCTGAGCAGAGTGGTCTGGGAGGCTCYGTGTGATCCTGAATGTAAGTGAAGGAGAGGGCAGGGCGAAGGGACCTCATTGAGAGCTCTGCCAGAGGTGAGAGGGACAGGYTTGCAAGAGGTGGGCAGCTGAAGGCACTGAAGGCAGGGAGGACAGCTGTGTTCTGCTATACACCACCACCCGCCTTCGAGGGGCCCACTGCTCCCAGACTGTCCCCAGTGCAGTGTTCATTAAGCCAGTGATTGCTAATGAGCTTCCACCCGCCAGCCTCAACGGCCAGTACTGCTTAGGTGGCCACCCAACCTCCTCTGGCTAGACATCCTTCTCTTCCCAGACTTCCAGTTCTCGGGGCCCCTCCCTTCTCGGTATCCTCCCAAAACTCAGCACCTACCCAGCACTTGCTGGGAACCTCTCTCTGTATCCCTAAGGGGCAGGGCAGGGGCACAGTTTTACCTACCCTTGTGCCTGCCTGGCAACTCTCTTGCGTGGTCATGCACTCACAGTTCATGGGGACTAGCCAGAGCCTTGTCTGTAATGGCTCTCAGCATCCTAGGCTGGGTAGAGGCTCCATCTCAGGTTTGCCTCCTCCAGGTTGGGTCAGCTGACAGCGACAGAGGGGCTTCTCAAGGTTACTACCCCATAACCTCAAACAAAAGAAAGAGAGAGGGAAGGCTGAAGATGTTGATGAGAGGAGACATATCAGAAAGGAAGAGAAGGGCAAGGGGCAGAGGAAAGGAGGGCAGGAAGAGGCATAGACAATGCCCAGACAGAAGAGGGAGGGCCAGCAACAGGCCTGAGCTGACCCAACAGCAAAGTGCTCATAGCTGGGCCTAGGGCCTGCAGATCTAAATACTCCCTGCCACTTTATTTTTCTCTCCTCTTAAACACACATACACACACACACACACACACACACACACACACACTCACTCACTCTGTACTGGAGGGGGGCCACCTAAGATAAGAATGTGCTCTAAGAATTGCTCCAGGCAAATTTATCAACCCAGAAATGGGAAGGCAGAGATCAGCCTATCCAGGATCCAAGGAGGGCCCACTACAGGCTTCTCCCAGGGCGAGGGTGGTGGCCCTGGGCAAGGGGGCCTGAGGAGGAAGAAGGCAACACAGCAGAGCCCACTGGGGGGGAACGACAGGTCCTACTCATTGCTGCTCATCTGCCACCAGTCTGCAGTCCTCACTTCCAGCCATCCTTCAGAAACTAAAATGGAGATGGGCTGCCCAAAGCTCCTCTCTGTAGGAACATCTAGAACTGGTGTGTGAGCCACGCTAACTCCCAAATATTTCCTTCCATCTATAGTCGATGGAATCTGCAGATGCAGACCACCAGAAGCCCAACTGTGGCATCCTTCAGTTGCATCAATCAAAACTTCAGGTGGGCTGGGGCTGGTGGTAAAGTGCTGGCCTAGCATGCAGGAGGCCTTAGGCTTGATTTCCAGCACCAAAAAAAGAAAACCACAAAACAGTGCATAAACCACCAGACATGCAGGGAGGAACCCTACACACCGAGGAGCGAAAGTGCTTCATGCCAGGCTAGTTCGGGGCT